GTACAGAATACCTTTTCCCATATGAGCAAATATGGAAATAAGATTCCTTAAACTCCCTCCACCTTTGTGCCCTTCAGATGTGTTTGTTCAGTGGCCAGCTGACTGGGGATGATGGGATTTCTAGTCCTGCACGTCTGCAGGAAACCAGGTTGGGGGAAAGCTGGCTGTACCTTTGCTTCAAGAAACTCTTGTTATTTATTTATTTATTTATTTATCCATCCATCCATCCATCCATCCATCCATCCATCCATCCATCCATCCATCCATCCATCCATCCATCCATCCATCCATCCATTCAAAATATTTTTACCCCATCTTTCTCCTTAAAAAGGATCCAAGGCAGCTTACATCTTTGAGAGAGACAATATTTAAAGCCAAAAACAATGAGTATACAACAGTGGCCTACATCGTTAAAAGACAATATTAAAGCTAAAACAATAAGTATGCAAATACTGAGCGGGAACAAACAAATGCCACTCTGGGAGACGGTAAACACAAGTAGAACGAAAGGCCCGGTCAGAGCGGGAATGCAAAACAAATCCATCTAAAAGACACACTCGTGTCGCCTAGTCTTTTCCCGGATCCGCTGACGTGAGCAACGGGTTGCAGTTCTTTCCCCCAACAAGACAAAAGGTGTTTTGTTTGAACTCAACGAACAAGCCTTTGGATTGTTTTCCTCGGCAGGCTCTCCCCAAATATTTCATCGTTTTAGCTAGATTATCGACCTTCGAGCCCCTCCGGGTGGCTTCTGGACTCTCTTTCTTAGGAGCGCTGCATGGAGCTTTGTAAGAGGAGTGGAGGAGTGCCTGTTTTCTGTTAAAAGGGCTCTGCAAGCCCATCGCTGTTTTTCAGCTGGAATTTTGCTCTCTCTCCCCTCAAGGGCACTGAGAGGCATATCGGCTGCAGCCATAACAAAACCCAGGAGGCCTTAATTGTGGGGTGGTAAGGCTCGTCCCTGTGCTAGTTTTCACATGGCTCACATCAAGTGAAATAACAAGGACCTCCTTTGTTCCATGTCCTGAAAAAACATACACCTCTCTTAACAATTCTTCTTTTCCTGTCAGATCCCAGTCTCCCCCCCCCCACAACTTCTTTTGTGCTGATTGTGTGTCTCTGTACTTGAGCTTTCCAAAAAATTAGCAGAGTTTGGATTCCTGCAGCTCTCAGACTCTTTCAGCCAGCAGGTCCTGTGTCCATAATCGCAAGGGGATTCTGGGTATTATTGTTCAAAAAGGTACCGTAACTGTTCCAAGCTGTGGTCGACAGCAAATGTTCAACACTCTTGCCTTCATGTTTTGACTTCCAGTGGACCCATTTCCTTTATATTTTCTTTAAGAAGCCCATATGTTATTTGGGGAGGGGGCATTATGCCATTCTTTTGACAGTTCTGAGTGCCAAGGGGAGTAATCTTTGGTTACGTATGTGTGTGTTGTCTTTTGCAAATATTTGCAGAGGTGCAGTATCAGAATTGGACACTAGAGAGGGCCAGAGAGTATTTCCCTGTGTCCTTCTGTCCCACCTGCAACACAATGAATCACTTGCCTGTCTGGAGGAGAAATGAAATACCATTTATGAGCCATGTGAGAAGCTGATATTACAAAATGATATTCCAGGACCTGCTCGAGATCCTCATTATTTGGGCAGAAGTTCAGTAGGTGCCATTTTCCATAGCAGAGATGGAAGAATCCTAACCCTGTTGAATGTCTGCCTGCAGAAGAAAAGGAATCAGAAATCTTGTTTTGTTTAATTTAGCACCCAGGGCGATGGACTTGAATTTTCCAGGGCTAGAATTCAGTACATTGGACTCCCTGCTGTGTCTTTGAGAACATCCCCTTCTGGTTTTCTGCTGTTGGAGAAAAATTATCTTTGAACAAGAGCTTTGCTCTTCTCTGCTGGTTGGGTTGGTGACTGTACAAGAAGGACGGATTGCTTGCTTGTCTCTGGAACCTTTCAGTCTTGGACGCTGCTGGGATGAATCATGAGCTCCACTCGATCGTGATTCATCTCAGCGCAGGGCAGGGGATGGCTCAGTGGCAGCCCTGTTACCGCTGGGCACCCGCTGGGCTAGCTGGTGGCAGGGAGAGGCCTCTCTCTCGTCTTGTGACCCGGGTCTGCTCTGCTCTCCCCTCCCCAGTGCATTACGGCTCCTGGTTTGAGCACGTCAAAGGCTGGCTCGGCTGCAAGGACGAGCTACGCATTTTCTACATCACCTATGAGGAGTTGCACCAGGTGAGTTCCCTTGCAGGTAAGGTACACACCATGGCTTAGGGAGGCTGCCGATCAGGGTCCTGGAGGGTTCCAGATCCCAGAATCCCCCTTCCTGTGGTAGCTGCAGCATCGTGGGAGTTGTGTTCTAAAAGCAGAAGGAACTTTCCCCAGTGCTGGACGCGGCGCCCCATGTTTGATTTCCCCGACCCTCTGCCTCCCTGACCTCAGGATCTGGAGGCTTCTGTGGAGCGACTGGCCACCTTTCTGGGCTGCCCTTTCCATGGAGACCTGGCGGATTCTATCCGGGAGCACTGCAGCTTCGCCTCCATGAGCGAGAACACCATGGTGAACGGTTCGCTCATCTCTCAGGAGATCATGGATCGGAGCAAGAGCCAGTTCATGAGGAAAGGTGAGTGGCAGCGGGGAGCGGGGGCCTGGGTAGTTGAGCAGGCAGCCAACGGAAAGCCCCTGCAAGGGTCACCTTGTCTGGCCCCTCTCCGTGCAGGACGCCCGAACACCTGAAGGAGCCCTGACGGAGGGCCGCTCCACCTCCTCTTCTGAAAACTCCTCTTTCAAAACACCGGAGCTGGCCACTTTTGGAATCAGCCTGCTTCACTGAATGTTCTTGCCTCCAGGGAGTTTTTCCTCGTCTCTGGAAAACCACCTCTCCTGGCCAGTTGGGGAGCCAAGAGAATTAATTTTGAAAGGAGGAGGAGGTTGTCCTGACCATATGCAGCAAATCTAACCTTTTGCCCTCACTTAGGTATCATCGGAGACTGGATGAACCACTTCTCTGCCTTGCAGAACACACGCTTCAACGAGAAATACCAGCAGGAAATGGGAGGACTTCACCTGCAATTCCAAGGGCTCACGGACTGACAACCGCTTGGCCTCCCCACACCTCCAGAGCCCAAGGACTTGGCTGGTGGGTGCTACAAAAGCCAAAGCTTACACCCTGGGGTGGGTGTATGGATCCTGTGTGCCACTGGATAGAGAATTCCCGAGCGACTCTCCTCTGGCCCCCACTGGCCAAGGCTGTGGTGACCCCCTGGAGTCTCTCTCTCACCAGGAAGTGCTCACTTTCCCTGATGACAGGAATATCCCCCCCCCATCATGCTACCTGAAACTACATACCTTTCAACAGGAGTGGACAGAGAGGGACCCTGGATAGTTTTCATTGAAATCCAGTAGGCCTGTATTCTAGGATTCGGGAAGAGCAAAACACCTGGAGAAGAAAATCTGAGGACCACCTGCACAGTCCGCCTTGCGCCAAACTGGAGCCCTCTTGGTGTGTTGGATTACAGCCTCCCGTTGAGCTCAGGCCCTTCATGGCGTCCTTATTGGTTGGCCCAGCCTGATTCTCGACGGCAGAATCCCTCGGTTGGGCTGCACAACCAAGAGAAGCAGCCGCCTGTCCCGGACTGGACGCGGGACTTCCTTTTCTCACCCCCTCAGAGCAGGCGTGTCCCCTGCTTCCTGGCACATACGTTTCCCGACAGTGTCCACCTCTCCATCTCCATTGTCTGCGAACACATGCAATGAGCTAAACCATAGCTAGGTTTTGCTTCTGCCTTAACTGCTACGTCTGTGCCTCCATGCTTTCCGTTCTCGTTCCAAACTGGAGCTGTGGCAAAATGTTTCCGCAATGAAATGGCATTGTCACCCAAACACCAGCATGTCCAATGCAGACCAACAAGGCTCCACGGAGACCTCGGGGGGCTCCTGTGCCTTTAGTTAAAGAGTTCCTTGCCTTGGCTTCATGTTCTGCTCAATAAACTGGAGAATGAGCAATTAATGATCCTATCTCAGAAAACCTCAAGCAATGTCTTTAATACTTTGTGGGAATCTTATAACCATGTAGGCCGCAGGAAATGCTGAACCATACTGAAACCCCCAGATCCAGATGTGGAAAAGCCCACACAGAAATGTCCTGGTGATGAAAGTTGCCGCCCTTTATCTCTGTTTCAGAGCAAGTATTGCAGTGGTTGTAGATCAGGTGGCAGCTGCTTAAGGCATAAGAGCAGGAAGAGAAAACGTCACTGGCAACTCTCTCTCTCTTCCTCCACCCACCCACAGTTGTCCGTGTGTTAAATACCCCTCCTACTATAACTGAACTGTTGACAATACAAGGAGATAACAAGAAATAGCTCAATAGTTATCTCAAAAACATCTTTATTTTTTAATATTTAATATGCTTTATATTTTAATTTAATATTTGGTTCTGCTCTGAGCAATGCAGCACTTTCAGATGAAAAAAAGGGGGGAAGTGGGAGATGGGGTCGGGGGAGGGGAGAAAGGGGAAGGATGCTTATTTACACAGGAAACTCCAGATCCCAACAGGAATGTTAAAAGGTTTCCACAACAATAAAATGTAAGGTGTTTTTTTTTCATAGCCTCTGCAGCGCGACCGCTGGAGAGTGGGAGAGAAGCTCAGACTGAGAGAGGAGACAGAGAAACTGGAGGTGGGAGGAGAGGCAAAGTCGAGATGAAATGTTTCTTGACCCTCCATCGTGAAGACAAACAGCATATTTGCTGATCAGACACACCTTCCCTGGAATTGCTCTCCCGATTTCGTTGGCAGCATCAAAGTGGACGTAGAAGTCTCTGTGCATGTCTGCCAGCCCAAGAAGTTGTGTGTGTGCGCGCGCATGCGTGCATGTGTGTAGAAGTCTCTGTGCATGCCTGCCAGCCCAGGAAGTTGTGTGCGTGTGTGCGCATGCGTGCATGCGCGCATGAGCAAAGGAAGCCCAGGGCTCTGTCTCTCTCTAGTGCCATTTTCTGTTCTTCGCACGAGCAGAGGAAGCCCAGGGCTGTGTCTCTCTCTAGTGCCATTTTCTGTTCTTAGTCCAAGCCATTAAAAGTCTAGCGTCTTAAAAACTTCAGGAAAGAAAGTGATACATGGTTGGGAAGGGGGAGAGGTTTTGTTTTGGGCAACTGGGACCGACTGCAAGAGGAGAAAGATGGAGGAGGAAAGGACCCCTTGCTGGAAGGAGGCTGTGCGGGGAAGAAACAGGGCCACAACTCCACCATTGCCAGTGGAGGAGAGGCTGCTGGAGGCAGAGGGACCCAAACGCACAAGCATGGCGAGGTCTCCCTTTGGCTGACTTTTCCTTTTCCGTCCTGTGAAAGCTTTCTTCTTCTGCAACTTCCTTTCTTCTTCTGCCATTTCCTTCACTGACCTTGCTCAGCTTCACAGAATCTTGTTCTTCATCAATTAATTAAAAGGGGGAAAATAACAACACATACCTATTTGTTCCTCCACACAAGGCGCCGCAGGCTCAGCTTAGAAACTGGCAGGGGGGCTGTCTCTGTCTCCCAATCCTTAAAGGAACCCCTGGCATTGAAACAGGCCATATGCATAATTGGGGGATGGGGGGGGGGGAGAGAGAATAGACAGCTAAAACCCTACTCTTTAAAACTCCAGCGGGTGGCAAAGTTTAGCCACTGAAAGGGGCATTAAAACCAACCTGCACCTCTACTTTGCACGTTGGCAATTCTCCCTGCCACCAATCCCATGGTCTTATGGGGAGAAAGATGTTAGTCAAAGCGTTTGTACAAGGAAGGGATGGGAAGAGGCGAAAGAGGCCCAGGCGTGCAGGGGCCAACGTTCTTCTTTGATTGTGAACAGAACGGCTTTCTGGAGCACCACTTCCATTCCGGACACCCCAGAGAATGGCCTTTGGGTTTCATTTCCTCTTGTTTTCCTAGAAGGGCTCCTGCTAAGATCTCAGTGGTTGCGCTAAAGCTGGTTCTCTCTCCCCATCCAGCATTGCCTGGTTTCTTGGCCAAAACAGGTTGGCAGCAGCAACCCAGAACTGCATCAGATAAAGCCTTCCAAAGAGGGACAGAGACAGACGGACGGAGAGGAGACTGAGGACGCAGGCAGCTTCCACCTCGCTCTTCCTTGGCCATCTCTGCTTCCAAGCCCCCTACATTTCCGCCTGGAGAATCAGCCCTGTGAGCCGGAGAGATGAGTCGGGATCAGCTGATGCCACTACGAGGGAAGCCCGGCTGTACCACCTTTGTCTGGTACGTCGCTTTCTGGAAGGACCTTCCTCTGTAATGGTTCCCACCTCTGGCTGCTTCTCGAACAGCGCATTCTTCTGCTGGCACATACGGCCCTTTCATGCTGCTGAGCACGCAGGGCGGTTTCCAAAACTTCCATGGTTCACAGAGTCTGGCCTGAGTGATTACACCTTGGTTTGCCCTTCCTGGAAGAACCTACACCCACTGGAAGACGAGGCGGTGCAGGAGTGTCGTGGGGGGAGTTCGAACCGCTGGCAGACCCCCTCCACAGCAGCACTGAGGGTGGGCAGGCGGGGTGGCCACTTGTCCCGTCTGCCCCTCCGGCAGGGCCGGCAAAGCCTCCGCCCGAGCCTCTGGAATTTGTGCCGGAAGTTCCTGTTGACCCCGAAGTAGATGAAGCAGTTCAGGAAACCGCTCCCTGTGGGGAGCCACAAGGAGACAAATTCCACCCATTCGTGGACTCTTTCCTGAGTGATAGCTGGGGGGGGGGGAGAGAGCAAAAGAGGGACACAAGGCCCTTTTATTTAGTGAGCCATGGATTGTCGAAGGGGGACTTACCCCTCCATGTAGCCTGCAAACCTAAATTAGCCTCCAAAACACGGAGTTTGGAAAAAGCACACACACACACCGGTCCAAAGAAATAAATATATATAATCGGGTTGCTTTTTAGAAGCCCAATGAGGGACAGAGAAAACTTGATCCTCTCCCAATCTGATGTGATCGCTTATGGCAGCATTTCGAGGGTCAGAGCGAGTCTATCATGAGAACTAGGATCCTGACATATGTATTGATTTAAAGCATTCATATTCCTCCCGGTATCCTGAGATCTCAGGGTGGAGCACAACAGTTAAAGGAATAGGAAACCGCTCCGTGCTTTGAAACCATTTCAAAACACCATACCTTTAAAAAAGCAACACTAGAGGCGGCTTCACAGTCTAGTAAAGCCGTGGTCCTGAGTCCCCAAAGGTGAGCAACCAGGGTTTAAACCACGGGGCTTGAAACGAGGCCAGCCACCGGGCACCGAGCTCTTCCCTTCTCTTTCCTAAGGGCCAGGAGGGATTGCAAAGCTTGGGAAAGTCGCTTTCCGTCTGCAAACAGTCCCAGGCCTTCCCTTCTTCCAGCCATGCCGGAAGGGATTCGTTAGAAGGGTCGCTTTCCATCTGCAGACAGTCCCAGGCCTTCCCTTCGTTAGAAGGTCGTGCCGGAGATATATTTGCTCTCTCCCCGCCTCCCCCCCACCTTGCCCCCCACAGATGCCCAGGGATTCTTTTCCAAGAGTGCCTCTGCCCACAACACCCCCAGCCCCCCAGCTTTGGGCCCTGAAACCTCGGGGGTTTGGGTGGTGGCTGCGTGATGGGATCTGCAGACAGTCCCAGGCCTTCCCTTCGTTAGAAGGTCGTGCCGGAGATATATTTGCTCTCTCCCCGCCTCCCCCCCACCTTGCCCCCCACAGATGCCCAGGGATTCTTTTCCAAGAGTGCCTCTGCCCACAACACCCCCAGCCCCCCAGCTTTGGGCCCTGAAACCTCGGGGGTTTGGGTGGTGGCTGCGTGATGGGGTCCCTCCGTGCCCTCCCGGGGTCACTCACCGTTGTACAGAATGGCGGAGATGCAGGGCGCCCAGCAGAGGTAGAAGGCCACGACCACCGGCAGCAGGATGCGGGCAGCGGCGTCCAGGTGCAGCAGGGAGACCCTCTTGGGCCCCGCTTCTCTCCCGCAGAGAGCCCTCCGTCTCTCGCGCCGCCGCTGGGTTCGGGCCGCCAGCCAGAGCCGCAGGTTGGCAAAGGTGACAAAGCCGGCGGCCGGACAGAAGATGGTGCCGGCGATCAAGAGGGAGTAAGCGGGGTTGGAGGCGTAGTCGGGCTCGCACAGGAGCGCCGCGGTGGAGAAGCGGATCCGGAGCACGGCCCTGGGGCCCGGCACGGCCAGGGGCGCCAAGAGGAGGGCCGGCAGCAGCCAGGCGGTGGCGATGAGCAGGGCCACCCGGCCACGGCTCAAGAGACGCTGGTAGTGGAGAGGGAAGAAGACCGCCACGTAGCGCTCCAGCGAGACCCCGGCCAGGGAGTAGAGGGAGGCCCCGAAGACGGTGGAGTTGACGAAGGCCACGGCTCGGCAGTAGGGGGACTCTCCTCCCCGGGCCCTCTCTTCGGCCACCGGCCCCGGGGCCAGGCTGCGGTACAGGTTGAGGGGCACCACCAGCACCGCCAGGGCGGTGTCCGCCGCGGCCAGCGAGAGCAGCACCAGGCGGCTGCTCCGGCTCCAGCCCGAGACGGAGGAGGCGATGACGGCAATGACCGTCCCGTTGCCCAGCGCCACCAAGAGCCCCAAGGCACAGACCAGGCTCAGCTTGACCATCCGGGGGCCGCACCCTAGCGGGCCACCCCCATTCCCGGTGGGGCACAGGCCTGGCTGGAGCCAGGAGTCCTCTGTTTTCGGCTGGGGGTCCCGTCCTCCTCCAGCCTCCTCCGGCAGCCTCGTCCTGCGGGTCGGGGCCCCTTCCTCCCAGTCCAGGCAGGGCTCCTGCTCTCCTGGGAGAGGCCCGTCTCCCTTGGCAGCCTTTCCTCCTCGTGTGGCCGGTCCTTGGCCCTCCCTGGGCAGCAGCCCTTCTGGAGCCGAGGGCCAGCACGCCTTGGGGTGAGACCGTTGCCCCTCTGCCTGAGCAGCCAAGGAGGGGCTGAGGCTCAGGAGCCAAAAGCAGCAGAGGGAGAGCATGGCTACTGCACACCCACCTGCCCGGCTGTGAGAAGTGGGAGCCTCCATGCCTGCGGAGTGGGGCCCTTTATCACTTCCTCTGGAGGAGGCCTTCTCCAGGTTGTCCCGAGAAGCCCGGAGGAGGAGGAGGTGGTGGTGCTCCTCCAGGAAGGACTCCAGGGGCTGAAATGGCTGCACCTGAAATCCCCTTTCCACGCCAGGGAAAGACTGAGGCTGCCCCCCCACACACACACACACACAGCTGAGGGAAGGAGCTCCCCCGGGAAGAACTCCAGGGGCTGAAATGGCTGCACCTGGGATCCCCTTTCCACACCAGGGAAAGACTGAGGCTGCCCCCCCCCACCCACACACACACACACAGCTGAGGGAAGGAGCTCACGGCTCTTTGCAGGATCCGCCTCGAAGCCCTTCCGCTCTCAGGCTCAGCAGCCATGGGCCAAGCGGAAAAGTGGGCCCGGATGCTGAACGGCACAATCCCACAGAGGCAGGGGGAAGGTCAGAGCAGGTGGGGATGCCTGCGGCACTCTGGCAGGTCCTTTTCAACTTCCGTAAAAGCCCTAAGATGCTAGAGGGGCTTCCCCCCCCACTCCCGGTCCCCCTGAAGTTATGGAAAAGGAACGCTAGGTGCCAGAAGTAAAGCGTCCTGTTATTTTTGCCACATTGTAACAGGTAGACCACAACAACAACAACAACAGGTTCCCCTTCAAACACTGTAATGAGTAAAGGGAATGCATTGCTTTTAGAAAGTAACTTCCCGACCCAGGGTTGTGTGGATGGTGGGTGCCGGGAGTGGCTGCTTTAGCGTCTCTTGAAAGGATCAGTGCAGAGAAGAACGGGTCAGCTCAAGGCCTGTTTTAAAGCGGTTTGCTGCTTTTAGGGGGAACCTCCCAACGAGGGGCTTCTGGAGGAGCAGAAACAGGAGAAAACCCCAGGATGTGCAGTGTGTCCCCCCCCCCAAAAAAGTTTGCTGCAGTTGCCCCAGGGCTGGCGCTTGTGCAGAGCATTCGGGTTGCCTTGCTTGGCAAAGAGGCAGGATTTAAATTTACCAAATAAATGCATGGCTCAGTGACACCACGGTGACTAGAGCAACTCGGATGTCTTTACATTTTTGAAGAAGTAACCGGGCTAGTCTGTGTCAGACCAACCCCCGCCCCCCCCCGAAACAAACAACAAGAAAAGACAGGACAAGACACAAAAGTCTTGGGCGGCACCTAAAAGACGAACTGCTGTGTTTCGATGTGCGCTTTCGTGGACAAGTCCACTTCCTCCGGCGTGAGAGTGGGAGCGTGCGGTCCTCCTGCTTCTCCATGGCCCCATGACCAGGCGGGGAGGCGGACCATGTCCAAAATGACAAGGGTTCTCTTAAGGCCTGTCAAGGGCTCCTCATGCCCCCAGTTAGACCAGGGGTTCCCAACTGGGGTCCCCAGATGTTCTCGGATGGCAGTCCCAGTTAGACCAGGGGTTCCCAACCTGGGGTCCCCAGATGTTCTCGGATGGCAGCTCCCAGAAAGCCTTCCCCACCAGCTGTGCTGGCAGGACTTTGGGGAGTCCCTACGCCAAGAACATCTGGAGACTCAAGCTTGGGAAGCACCAAGGGGGGGGGGGAGACAGAGAGAGAGATGAAGAAAGAGGAGAGCAACTCTCCTCCTGCTCCGGCCACTGCCTGGCTGACCTCACCTGCAGGCCGCCAGGGGGCAGCAGAGTCCTGTAATAGGGGCGAGACAGGGAGGGCGAGGGAGAAGGGCCCCAGGTAAGGTGAGGAAGAAATGGGGGGGGGGTTGGTTGGTTGGGAAGCCCCTGCCCAGGAGTTCCCGTGCCTTGAGACGCCAGGAGGCAGACCTGGGACCCATCCCGAGGGTCCGAGAACCTTCACCCAAGGAGTCACGAGCTGAGCCTGCGAAGGCTACTTTTTGAACATCATCCACATGGAGCAGAGAGAGGTGTCGCAATGTGCATGGGGTTTATGCCCCACCCCATGGACCAAAGGAGAGTTGGCGAATGGGCAAGGGGACCCCATGGAAGGAGCCGGCTTCTGGTCAAAAGCATTATCTTCACACTGTAATTTGCTTTTAATGTTATCTGTATTTCAAGTATGTACATCAATTTTAAATTGTGCAGTGGTCTGGTAGAAAGAAAGAAAGAAAGAAAGAAAGAAAGGTGACAGGCAGTCACTTCACGGGTGGAGAACCAGTGTGAAGTCGAGGTGAGAGTGTTGAAGTGGGATCCCTGGGAGATCCGGGCTGTAGATCCCCAATGATCCATGAAACTTCAAGGGTGACTCTGAGGGCGGTCTCTCTCTCTCTCTCTCTCTCTCGAAACTTCCAGGGTCTCTCTCTCTCTCTCCCCCACCACAGCTCACCTGCTTTGTGGGGTGTTTCTTGTGAGGCTAAGGTGGGGAGAAGGAGCAGAACCAGGTGTGCCTTCTTGAAGCCCTTGGAGGAAAAAGTGGGGTGCAAACCAAGACCACGGTCCCCCTTCCTCATCAGCGCCCTCTAAAACCCGTGACTCCTGGGCACTGGACGTCTTCCAGAAAGGCAACAAGTTGGCCAGGGTGGCTTTAACATCTGATGTGATTCTTTGGTGCTCAGCCACCTCTGCAGATACACAGGGAAATGCTCCGGTGTGGATGCCCACCCCAGGAGGCCTCCTTTCCCCCCCCAATCATCCTCTCCTGGGACCCTACTGCCACTTAGTCCTGGCCTGGGACAGGCAGAAGGGGGAGATCATTAAAAAGTGATGCTGACAAAGTGCTGCCATCTTTAAAGATTCATCCCACGGATTGAATTAAACATCTGCAGCTACTTAGGAAGCAAAGTGCTCAGCTCCTCCCGCCCCCCCCCGGGAGGCCCTCCTGCCTAGCCGTCTGGAGCTCAGCAACTCTCTGTCCAGCTGGGGAGGCCCACTTGCGTGGGCCAAGGATAGTGTTGGGAGCATGGAGGGCTGGGGGGCAGTGGCTGGGGGGGGGAAAGAGAGACCAGGAAACCTTTCTTTGCCCCCTCCCGCCTGGTTTTGATGGCTCAGGGGCTCCCCGCGTGCTCCACAAAGGGCCATCCAGAGCTCCAAAAACCAGTGGTCCTGAGCACCCCCCACAGAGTGCTTAGCTCCCAGGAAAAACCACAGCAAGAAGCCTGCCTTGGCTCTTAGCCCTTCCCGGGAAATAGACTCACCTCACATGCTGTTTCCTCCAAGCAGCCGCGGACGGTTGAGGGAGGCAGGACAGGTTTCTCTCCAAAGTGGCAACGGGCTCAAGACCATGTTCTTTACACATGCTCAGAGGCCCTTTTGTTTCTCACACAGGCGGGGGCTGCCGCTCTGTCTTGATGAGCCCTGCCCCCCTTGCCTGTCTGCCTGTCCTATGGTACCCCACTAAAGAGGCATTGGGCTTTCCCCCCCCCAAAAAAAAACATATATTCAGTATAAAACCATATTGTTTCGTTGGTGGATTAGAACGGAGGGTAATCCTCGAAACTGTTTCAGACCGCCGTCCTCTTTAGCGTGACGTGGCCTTCCCACAGTGGCCAACCGGTTGCACATGGGAGATTTGCCATGCCGTTCCCTGTTGGTGGATAGACGGGGCATACTCCCCTCGGATGCTGGGGGTGACGGATCACCCCCTGCCCATTAGCCCTTCGTGGACCTAAGGTGTGGTTTCCCCCCTCTAAAGCCACCCAAGGGAGCCACCCACAGCCGTACGTCCCAAGCAACAAAGCCCACCTCCTTTTGTCTCCTGTGTGAGGGCCAAATGAAGCAACATAAAGGTTTTGTTAACCTAAGAAGGAAGGCTGAGCTCCTTGGGGGGGGCAGCTGCTCCATCGCGAGGGTGCCACTGCAGAGAAGGCCCCGTGCTGAGTTGACGTTGGGTTTGCTTCCAGGGGGTGGAGCTGAGCTCTTGGGGGGGGCAGCTGCTCCATCGCAAGGGTGCCACTGCAGAGAAGGCCCCGCGCTGTTGACGTTGGGTTTGCTTCCAGGGGGTGGAGGAGGATCACCTTACAGGATCTAGGCATTCGGTGGGGAAGGGGGTTGATGGAGGAGGAGGCTCCCTGTGCTTAGGATACAGGCGTCGGGGCGGTGCAGAGCATGACGCATGTTAGTCCCATCTATGCGCATGCATGCACGCACAGACACACAAAAGGAGGACGCAAAAAGCTGGCTTGTTAGAGATGCTCTCTGTGTCTGGATTGGTCTTACGCTAGCAGAATCTCCCGGAGGGGGGATGATGGGAGAAGAAGGGGTTTGGGAGGGGTCTCGGCCGTCCACCCTGCAATCATCCCTGCTGCCCGCCTTAATCACTCCCTGCAATTAGCAATGTTTTGTGTGTCTCTGAACACAGCTGGCGTGCCTGCGTGTGGCTGGACTCACAATGTGGTCCCAGCCTCTCCCTGCCATGTTGAAAAGGATGGGCGCAGCCACGGCTGTGGAACGAAGGACACGGAGTCCTGGAGGGGAGAGAAAGAACACGGATAAAGACGTTCAGAACAGGCGGGGAGCTCGGCACCCAGGCACCCAGATTTTGTTCAGACCCCATGGGCCGTGGACAAGAACAGGCCAGCGAGGGCTGAGGACCGACAGCAAGAAGGACCTGGTGCCTCCAGTTTTATCATAATAAATAAAAAATAAATAAAAGTTTTATCATAAAGGGAGGAAAATTCACATCACAAGATGAGTTTAAAAAAATCACAGCAGTCAGTAAAAGCAACCTTTCACACATCATAACAAGAAACGGGTAAAATTAGGGTTGCAAAGGAGTTTTCTGCCTCTGAATGCCTCTTCTGCCCCCCAACCTTCCCTGTGGCTGGAGTTGGGAGGAGAGGCCAGAAAGAGGTTTGCCACCTCTGGATCCGCATCCATTTAGCATCGATTTCCTGCTTAACGCCAATCAGAGCTTGGCAGGAGCTGGTGGCAGGAAAAAGTGTGGGGCAGCAGTGGGCCCAGGAGGCAGGCAGCCTTGGCAGCTTCCAAGCGCCAGGCTGCAGAAGATCCCTGGCAGCCTTTAGGGTGGGCACCGTCTTCAGAGGCTGGCCCTGCCAACTGGACCTGGGCAGGGCCTGTGTTAGACAGAGTCTCTCTTTCTCTCTCTCTCTCTTGTGTTGGGCGGGTTGGCTGGTAGGGTTATGTGTGTGTCGCCAAGAGGTGGGTGCCCCTATTTTTCTCAGAAGGATCCAAGCCTTTGGCACTTTGGCAACCAAAAGGATTGACCAGGACATGCCAAAAT